GAAGCCTTGCAATCTTGCCTGCCAATCTTGGGATTCATTGATATTCATAGCCTGTGAGCAAGAGTCCTGCTTCCCGACCCTCTGATCTTGGTTTTGCCAGCCCCTGTGGCTGCATGAATCGAGAGAAGCCTCTATCCTAATCCATGGATTTGGGACGTTCTAGCCTCCACAGTCGAGTGAGCCATTTCTTTGATATAAATGTCTATATCGCTTTAATGGTTTTGCTTCTCTAGAGAACCCAGCCTAAGACATATGCATATATACATACTATGTATTTAGTATATACTGTATTTTATGCAAATAACATACATGTTGTATGTTTTTTTCAACCACGCCCTCACCCTGTTATTTTCATAAATGTGCTATTCTAATTTTTTTACAGTAACGTAAAAAAATTAGCATAGCGTGTTTACCAAAATACCTCATGGGAGGAGAGTGCAGTTGGCACACACAAAAAAACTAACGTATGTTATTTGAGTAAATACAGTATTTATATATTTATGTAATTATATATTTGTCTATTTTGGATATTAGACTTTCATTATTTTATATGGTTCTCAAAATTTTTTCCCAATCTGTAGGCTGTCCCTTCACTTTGATGATAAAGTCATTTGATGAACAAAAGTACTTAATTTTTATGAGATCCCAGTAACTATTTTTGTCTTTTGATACTTGTGCTTTTGTTATCATATATGATAATCCATTGTTAAAAACTAGGTCCTACAAACACATCTCTGTTTTCTTTTAAGAATTTTATAGTTTTAGTTTTCACGTTTAGGTCCTTGATTCATTTTGAACTTTTGTGTGTGTGTGTGTGTGTGTGTGTGTGTGTGTGGTAGTGATCCTGTTTCATTTTTCTGCACGTGGAAATCCAATTTCCCCAGCACCATTTATTGAAGAGATTCTTCTTTCCCCATTGAATGAACTTTATACCCTTGTCAAAAATCTTTATATGTCAGATACCCTGTAAATTAAATTTAAATTTATTTTATAATTATTATTTTTAATGCTTTTGTCATTATTAAGCATGAAGGACATAACAGTTGAGTTTGCCAACCAAAAATGCCTTAAATCTGGCCTTTATCCTTGTTAAGACATTACCTTTAATGGATCCTTTTTTTTTTTTTCCTTCTTCTTGTATGCAGAACTTCAAGTTACCGTCTGGTGCCCTTACTTTCCCTTCTGAAGGGCACTCTAGCATTTATTGTAGGGGTGGTCTGGTGGTAACAAATTCCCTCAACTTTTATTTATCTGGGAATGTCTTAATTTCTCCTTAATTATTGAATGACAACTTTGGTGCATATAATATTCTTGGCTGACAGCTCTTTTCTTTTAGAACTTTAAATATGTCTTCCGATTGCCTTTTTGCCTTCATGGTGTTGGGGAATGGTCTGCCTCTGTGCCTTTCATCTGGGCTGCCTAAGCCGAGGCCTCAGGCCCAGAATATTCTCTGATAGAGAGGCTGGGAATTGGGTTGCTCTCTCTCTCCCAGTTTCTTCTCCTTATCAGAGAAGCCTTCCCCCTTTTGGGGCACACAGTAACTTTCTCTGTCTCTTGTGCATGCCTGGGCACCAAATGACACCTGGCCAACCCCACTTCTCTATCTATTCCCGGCAGGGAGGGAATAGGATCTCCTGTGACTGCGGCACAAGTGAGTGTGCATGGAACATCTAACTTGTACCAGCTGCAAGGGGAGACTGGCTGGCCATGGAAGACCAGTGCCTACTAGCAAAGCTGATCTCGCTGTGTCTCTTCTCCGTGTGCGTAAAGTGTTATCTCATGCATAAGTAGAACATGAACATATCTTTTGTTGGTGACCTGGAAACCTGGTATGACATGCGGTTTCTTAGGAGAAATCAGCACTTAATCTTATCAAAGACCTCTTGTATGTGATATTTTGCTTTTCTTGTGCATCTCTCAAGATTTTCCCTTTATTCTTGGTTCTCACAAGTTTTGATATAATATGCCCTGGTTTGGCTCTTTTTGGATTTAACCTACTTGGGGTTCATTGAGCTTCCTGGATGTGTAAATTTGTGTCAGCAGGTTTGGGAAATTTTTGACCATTATTTCTTCAAATATTTTTTCTATCCCTTTCTCTCTCTCTCCTCCTTCTGGGACTCTCATGTATAGTAGTCTGCTTAATGGTGTCCCACAGATCCCTTAAGCTTTATTCTTTTTTCTTCATGCTTTGTTCTTTTTGCTCCTCACACTTCATAATCTCAGTTGCCCTATATCATGTTCACCGATTCTTTCTTCTGCCAGTTCAAATCTACTTTTGAGTACCTGCAGAGAGTTTTTCATTTTTGTTATTGTACTTGTCAGCTCCAGCATTTCTGTTTGGTTTTAAAAACTTCTGTCTTTATTGAAATTCTTGTTTTGTTCTTGTATTGTTTTCCTGATTTCTTTTAACTCTTTTTCTGTGTTTTCCTTTGAGCATGTTTACCACTGTTGCTTTGAAGTCTTTGTCGAGTAATTCCGTTATTTGTTCTTCTCAGAGACAGTTTCTGTTCCCCTTTTGGTCTTTTTTTGGAGGCCACCCTTTCCTCCTTCATATGCTTTGTGATTGTTTCTTGTAATAAGGGCATTAAACTATTTTACTATGGTAACTCTGGAGATTAGATTCTTGCCCTACTCTAGAGTTTGCTCTTCTTTCTCTTTATTATTGTTGTTATTAGTAGTAATACTATTTTAATTTATTGAAGATTGTGATTCTCTGCTTTAACTCCGGATTCCCTGTCTATATGCATCTGCTGTTGTCCTTTCCTTATTGGTCTCCCTGCCTATGAGTGCTGGTCATTACTTCTTCACTGCTGGTTCCCTGACTGAGTATGCTGACAGTGCTACTGCAGCACCCTACTCTATGGCTTGTAGCACCTGGTGTAGTTGCCTCACCTCCAGATACTGGGAATGTTGACACTGTAACTCTGGCACCAGATTCCCTCTACCCAGGGACTCTGGTTATGCCCCTCCAGCACCTGCCTCCTCCTCACTCCCCCACCCCACCCCATTTGAGTTTACCAACTGTCTCTGACTGCTAACTGCATATCCCCCCGCCCCCGTGAATGCTGGTCATGCAACTCTGGTCCCAGCTTTCCCCCAGGAGCTGCAGCTGGGACATTGGCTGTTCAGCACCAACCTCAGAGTGCCAATTTGCCACATGCCCTAACTCCTCAGGAACTCAGGCCTGGCTGTGCTCACTATGTTTCTCTTTACCAGTACTCACGGAGACTCCAGCTTATGCTGTGCTCTCCACACTGACCTTTCCCAGGTCTGCCTGTTCAAGCATCCCAGCCTGTGCTGTATTCACCATGTCTCTCTGTCCCACGCCTGACTGCTCATAAAGTTGGGCCCATGCTGTGTGCCACGTTGCTCCTTCCTGGGATGCATGGGGACTCTAGTCTGCACTGCAATTTCTGTGCCATTCTGTCCCAGGTCTGCCTGCTTGGGGGTTCCCAGCCTGCCCTCTGTTCCCAGACCCTCTCTATCCCAGGTTTCACTGCTCAGGTGTCCCAGTTCATGCCTTGCCCACCTTGCCTCTCTGTCCCAGAGCTTATTACATAGTACCTCTGACCCATATGTGTCCTCCATGATGCTCCAACCCTGTGCTCCCTGCCCAAAGGAGCCGTCTGCAACCACCTCAAGATGGCTGCCCTGAGCTGGGGTGGGGAGTAGGCTGAGGACCCTCGGCAAACCTCCATTCTTCCACTGTCTGTATGCTACCTTTTTTCTCGATTCAGTGTTCATGTAATCCTTCAACCCATTTAACTCATGTTCAAAGTGCTGAGATTATAAATTTCACCAATTTTTGCTTGTTTTCTTCTAGAATTGTTGTTGGAGGATGGGAGTGTACAACGGCTTACACCACCATCCTTCCTGCACCTCTGGCTGCTTTTAAAAGTTTTTTTCTGCCTCACGTTTTCTCAGATTTTCTATAAGACATCATATGTGGATTCCCCCCGCCACCCGCCTTGATGTTTTTTAGTAGCTCTTAAATCTGTGGCTTGATTTTTAAAAAGAATCAGTTTTTCAGCATTTTCAGACTTTAGCTCTTGAAATATTTCTTTTTCTTCTATCCTTTTCGGGATTCGGATTACAGGTATTCTCCCAGCTGTGTTCTTAACACTGTTTTTCTAATTCTCTCATAGTTTTTTTCTCTGGGTTTTAATGTTTCTATAGTTTATTTTTGTAAGGTAACAGTGAACTTTTTTCCCCACATGAATACCTCATATGCTTTTTTAAATGAATCTTTGAAACAACCCTATGAATATAATTTTTTTGCCATTTTTATAGGTGTTATTCAGAGAGACTAATTTGCCCAAGTTAACATCACTATCAAGCAACCAGAGCTTAAATTCGAATCAAGATCCAATGATTCAATATTTCTTGCTCCTCATTTTATGAAGTTATGTTTCCGTCTTTCTGTCTGTCCGGTTGTCTTTCTCCCTTGATTTTTTGGAGGGTAACAGTTATTCAAAATAGTGTACCTATTGATGAATTATATCAGTCTGTCTTAAAATTAACATTCTTCCTTTCTGCCTGTATTTATTGAATATACAGAAGTGCACAAACTTAGGAGCCAAATATTACCTCTCTAGGGGGCTTATTTCTATAGGAAAGAAAGAGTGTACACAGTTTATTCTAATAGAGGATGTGAAGAGAGAGTTTCTATGGATAGGAACAAATAAGAAGGTAATGTCCCAAATGATGAGATCAAGAGAGAGAATTAATTGAGCTGATGGAATTTATCATGGAAGAGACATAAGTGTGAGAATTCTTTACTAACAGTAACATGTATATTATAATATATACGTTTATATACTAATATAAACGAGGAAACTCAGTACTAATGTTTTATGTTTTTTTCCCCTAACAAGTCTATTTGTGCAGTCTGTAATTGTCACTAGTTGGGTAGTGAGTCATGTAGGCAATGAAATTTTGTCCATCGTGATACATTACACTCAGTGATTGAAAATAGTCTTTCCTCTCCCCCTCCCCACCAGGTTATTTCATTCCTGGCTGCAGTTTTGCATAAAAAGGGAACTCGTGAAGATATTGAAAATAACATGCCGGAGTTTTTACTAAGAAGTATGAAAAAGGAAACCCCTTCTTGTACAGCAAGAAAGGTAAAGTAGAAAATATTCACGAAGCTGGTATTGCAAAAGCATATAGAAACTTCTAAACATCATAACTTATAGTATAAATTTTAGAACATGAAAATTTAAAGAAATTATTAAAATAGAGTGATGGGAGGTCTTAGCCTTTGTTGTTGACTTCTGGCTTTGTTGCATTCAATAACGTAGCTTTGATATTGTCTTTGTGACCAAATCCATGGTCAGGTGTTTTTAATATTTGATGTTGTGTGGTCTGTTATTTTAAAATGTTCTCTATATTGTGTGCATTTTTTTTTTATGGCAATAGAGTTCTATAGATTTCTATTTAATCAAGCCTATTAATTACACTGTTAAAGTTTTTAATACCATTATGATTTCTTTGGTCTACTTGAAATACTTTGAACAATTGAATTTAAGAGAAATATATTAAATTCTTATACTGTGACTTTGCATTTGTTAATTTCTTCTTGTATTTATACCAGTGTTTGCTTTGTTCAACATCTTCAGTTAATTCTTGCTTAGTAAATTTTGTGTGCTTTTATATTGCTTTCATACTTGATGGATTATTATATCTGAGTATAGGATTCTAAGTTCAGAATTTTCTCTGATAACTTTATTGCAGGTGAGGATCTTATGCCAATCCTGACTTTTTTCATTGGGAGGAAGTTTTTTTTTTTGTTGTTTGGAAGTGCTTAGGACTTTTTCTTTATCCTAAATTCAGAAATTTCCTCAGGCCCGACACTCTAGAATTCTTCCAAATAAGTTCTCTTGCTTTAGAAAAACACATTCAGTACTTTATTAAGAGGGAGGAGGTACTAATGCTAGAGTCATCTTCTCTGAAGCAGATGACTAGTATAGCTGTTCTCCATTTAATTAATTATTTTGTCATTACTTTTCTTATAGTTGCAACTCACCTTGCACAGTTGGGTTTTTTGTTGTTGTTTTCTTTTGTTTGTTGTTGTTTTTAGGTTCATTCTAGGAAGATTCACTTTTGTTTGTTGTTGTTCTTTCCAAAGGTAAGGAGTGCCTAGGTGGCAAGAACAGTTAAGCACTTCATTATTAACCAAAAGCTTGACAGTTCAAACCCACCCAGAAACACCTCAGAAGAAGGGCCTGGCAATCTGCTTCCGAAAGCTCATAGCCTTGAAAACCCTGTGGAGTGCAGTTTTACTCTGCATATATGGGGTCACTATGAGTTGGAATCAACTCCACAGCAACTTGTTTTGGTTTTGGTTCTAAAGGTAAAAGATGGATTCCTCAGTTCTTCGAGAATGTTACTTCTCATCTGCTTTGCCACTGTTCTGATCTGGCAGCACCCTCCTAGACATTGTAGCACTTCCATTGATTTATTTTTACATTTATTCTTTTGTCTCATTGGAATCAATAAACACATGTGTTCAGTAATTTGAACTGGAATTCTGGAAATAAATATTTTAATGAGATTACACTATTTCCCAGAAGTAAATTGCAGCAAAAACTATAATTTTGTTTGATGAAATTCTCAAAATCTAAATTTGTATTGGTTCACTTAAAGCAATGCTCATTTTAAAAAGAAAGCCTGTGAAATAGGGTAGAAATAAATTCCTTTCTCTCTACGTGCTAATGTCAGAATTGCCTAGGAATCCTGAAAACTTAATGTTGGAACTCCTTGAAACAAAAAAACTTTAATGACTAGAATGTTACAAATTAAGGAGTGGCAGGTTTGAGGTATGTGTGTGTGTTATATGATACATCTCATATACATTTTAAAATTTCCAAGTGTGAATAAATCATCTGAGAATGCATGAAATAGATCATGTGTGCCAAGAATAAATTCTTAAAGGAAAAAACACAAGCTATGCATTTCAAATATTGATTCTTGAAATGATTCTTTCAATTTCGGGTGTTCAGTTTAGATTAAAATTTAGTCTTTATGAAAATGAATCATAGTTCCTTTTAAAATATTGCTCTTTTGCATGACAAAACTTTAGAGAGTCTAAGTAAAATTCACAATTCATATTAAAGCAGAGGAGGAAGATTTTTCTAGCATCAGAAGTAATTTCAGTGGTGATTGAGCAAAAATATTTTTCAAGTATTTTAGATCTATTTCTTTGGTTCCTGATATGAACAGAGGTTATTATGTTGCAAATGATGCTACTCTGAGCATTCTTATACGTATGTCTTGACAACTTCTGCACTGATAATTGTAGGGTAAATTCTTGGTACTGAAATTGAGTAGTATGTGGTCCTGGATTTGTGGATATGTTCATATTACATGTTGGTAGCTGAAGTAAATTGCCCTTTCAGGAGGCTGTAGGAGTCCCTGGGTGGCGCAGATGGTTAAGCACTCGACTATAAGTTGAAAGGTTGGTGGTTTGTGTCGCAGCGGCGACGGTAATCTGGACGGCGAAGACAGTAACCAACTGCACAACTCTTACAGAGAAGTGGGGCCAGGAGGGTCACTCTGAGGAGTCGACCCCCACTTCAGTCCCAGGAGTTTATTTTATAGTCAATACAGCAATCAATAAGGCAATTAACAAAACAATGAGCTTTGAGTACGGGCAAGGAAGAAGGAATTCAGGTAAACAAGTCAATCAGTAAAGGGACAATAGGGTTTGGGAGAACACATCCGGACAAGTCTCGACATGTTGGAGACAAGTCTCAACATGCTGTGCAGCATAGAGGCCTGTGGGGGCTGCAGTTGTCAATAGTACAGCCATGTTTAAATGGCATATATCCCCACAGTTTGAGCCCATCCAGAGATGCCTTGGTAGACAGGCCTGGTGAACTGGTTTCAAAAGGTCACAGCCTTGAAAACCCTGTGGAGGATTTCTGCTCTGAACACCATGGCGTCGCTATGAGTTGAAATGGACTTTACAGCAACTAACAACAACCAGAGGCTGTGACAATTTTATATTTCTACCAATACCGTGTGAATATTTCCACTTTTTCACCTGCCCAAGTTACTAACAAATTTATGTCAGTTTGACAGACAAAAAATATAGATCTATAAATCTTGTTTCGCTTTGCATTGCTTAGATTGAATGAGGTTGAGTATCTTTTCAGATGTTTAAAAGCTACTTTTGATTTAAAATGCCTTTAATATCTTTGTCCATTTTAAAATTAAAACCAAAAAAACCAAACCCATTGCTGTCAAATGGATTCTGACTCATAGCGACACCATGATGTTCAGAGTAGAACTACTCCATAGGGTTTTCAAGGCTGTGACCTTTTGGAAGCAGTTTGCCAGGCCTGTCTACCAAGGCACCTCTGGGTGGGCTCGAACCACCAACCTTTTGACTGAGTTCTTATTTTTAAATCATAGTCCTTGATTCTTTGTCTTTATTCATATATGCTAGATACTAATCGTTTGTCCATTATATGTATTTTAAATTTTTTATGTAGTAAAGCTTATCTGTCTTTATATGTTTTAGGTTTTATGTCTGCATCTTTGCTTCAGCTGGCATTTGGTTTGCATTAAGGAGTGATCTAGTAATCCAGCTTTATTTCCCCTAAATGGTTCGCCACTTATCATAATGTCATCCATTGAATAAGCCCTCTTTTTTGCAATGATTTGAAGGGCCACTTCTATGTAAAATTGAACTAATTTATATATTTGGGTCTGTTTCTGAATACAGTGTTCTCTTATATTGATTTATGTTTTTCATTTCTCTTGCAGTTGTAAATAGTTTTAATTATTTTAGCTTTATAATATATTTTAATATTTGGTAGGACTAATATCTCATTTTTCTTTTTCAGAATTTCTCTATCCTTTTTCACAAGTTTTCTCTCCTTGTGAGAAGTAAATTTTCTCAAATTTCTCCCAAAAACCTATTGATATTTTAGTTGGCATTGCATTGGATTTATTAGTTTATTTGGGAAGAATGAATGTAGTTACAATATAGAGACTACATATCCAAGAGCAGTCAGTCTCATTGTTTGTTTAAATTTATTTTATGCCCCTCAGTTTTTCGTTTTCTTCATATGACCTTGTCATTACACTTAAGCCGGGTAGTCTGTATTTTTTATTTCTATTATAAGTAGATTTTTTTTTTTCATGTTATTTTCTAACTTTCGGTTGTTTGTATATATTAATGCCACTTAAATTTTATAAACTTTACTTTTTTAATTCTTTTACTGTTCATAAGAGTTGATTTACTGTCCATCTAGTTTATTTACTTATGTTTTCTACATATAATAATTTTACTTCTTTACTTCCATTCTCATATCTCTTATTTACTTTTCTTCTTCAGTTGCAAGATTTGGTATTCATTCATTTGCTACCCATTGATATTTTAAGTGATGTTGGTCTATAATTTTCTGTTTTTATAGAATATTTGTCAAGTTTTGTATTATTATAATGCTACTTTTGTAAGAAGGATTTGGAAGGGTTCCTGACTAGAATGGGTTTTAAACTGAAATTCCTATATATGATATAGCCCCAGTGTACCAAGGAAAATTATCCACTATGCACAAGAGTATAAATTAATTAGGTTGGACTTTTTTCAAAGAACTAAGATTGTAGAGGTAAAACAGAAATATTTTTTAGAACTTGGGGTTACATAGCAAAAATTTGAGTTTATGGTCTTTAATTTTTCTCTATTAACTTGATATGTCATTTCTCCCTATGTGAAACCTTTGCTTCAGCTCTGTTGGTCTGTCACTGTCCTTTGAGAATGCAGTTCCTACATTGGCACCTTGACATGTATGCTCTCATTTATTAATTCATTTATTAGTTGAACACCTTCTATTTTCTAAGCACTGTACAAAGTACTGAAGTCACAGGGGTAAATAAAAAAGTTATGTGTCTCAAGGAATGGACTTCGTGGTTTAAAGTGCTAACATGATATGTTGGTTAAGAGCTTTGGAATTAGATGGACCAGAGTTTAAATACCTACTTTACCAGAGCAGTATGACCTTGGGCATATTATTTAATATCTCCACATCTTAGTTTCCTTATCTGTAAAATAGAAATACTAAATATTCCTACTTTATATAGAGTTTCTGTGTTAATATCTATAGATTACATTGGACAGTAAATATTCAGTACTGCTCATACTGATTATTGTTAATACTATAACTACTTCTGTCACAAAAGTCATCATACATTAAACATCTTTGGGGATCTCTCATAATCCATAGCACATCATTTTTATAATGCCATAGTGCATGAGGAATCAAACTTTAAAAGCATATTGCTAAATCACTGGGCTAGTTTTGCTGAATAAGATGAAAATAATTCAGTGTTCTCTATTTGCTTTGTTTAACCTAGCTTCTGTTGATTTTAATAATATTTAAGTAAAATAATTTTACTTTTATTTATGCTATGTTTTAGATCTGATTTTATGAAATCGTGTCTTAGCTTCAGAGTAAGAAATAGCCCCCAGAGGTGCTTTGTGTGTAGTGGCATAGCAGTTAAACACTGCTTTTCATTTTACTGTTTGGTATCATTTGCCTAAGTTTCTTTTTCCTATGTACTCTTTCTGGACTTTGCATAATAGCATAACTCAGTTCTCTGGCCTCTTTTACAATTAAAATGAGTTATTGAACCATGTGACTTACCTTTCATAATTTTGAACACCAATAATGTCTGCCATAATGCTCCTTAGAAGCGAAGATGGCAAGACTTCATCTCACATTCTTTGGACATGTTATCAGGAGGGACCAGTCCCTGGAGAAGGACGTCATGCTTGGTAAAGAGTCAGTGAAATAGAGGAAGACCCCCAATGCGATGGACTGACACAGTGGCTACAACAGTGGGCTCAAGCATAATAACAATTATGAGGATGGGCAGGACCTGGCAGTGTTTTGTTCTGTTGTACATAGAGTTGCTGTGAGTCGGAATTGACTCAGTGGCACCTAACAACAACAGCAACGTCTGTAAAAAGCAGTAAGGAATTGTGTTGCTACCTTCATATTTAAACCCCTTCTGGAATCCTAGGGCTGATACTAGGCATCTTTAGATTCGTTGGCTCTCTTTCATAATTGGCCTGTCAAGTGGAAAACTGCCAAAAGTGTTCAGATAGAATTTGCACCCAGCATTTTCATTTTGTAATATACAAAAATTTAATAGGAAACACTTCCATTGGACTCAGTAGTTGGAGCCCTAATTTTATATTTGAAGATAGCAGAAGAATGGAGGTCATAGGATAAACTGCAGGGCAAAGTATAAAACTATTTGAGATGAATCAAATGTGATGAGAAAGTAGTCATATATGCTTGATGATGGGTGGGAGAAAAGGACTCTCACATTCAGTAGATTAATCTACTGTTCTTTTTCTTTCCAAAACATAGTCACTGATTTGACTTCTTACAGCTGACAAACGGCCTAACTGAAATGTTTCACAGAATAGAGGGCAGGATTTAGAGCAGTATTATTATTATTAAACTGTATTATCTTTTTTTTTTTTTATTAAACTGAAACTTTCCAGTATGTTTAATTGGTTCATCTTTATCAACTTGGACAAGTACAACTTTAAGAAAAGAAACTTACTGATACTCCTGTTAAACAAAACAACTTAGGAGTAGTGGTAACAGAGAGAAATAAAATAATTAAAAAATTAAAACGGACAATGACAGCAGGATTTGGGGTTAGTACAGGGAAGGTCACTGGAACCCTGTAGCATTTGTATGAAGACTAAACAGATAGGCTGGTAATCCTGACAAGGACTGTTTTGGTTAGATGGGTTAGGGTAGAAGTCTTAACTTGCATGAGTTCAAGAGAGAACAGGAGAAGCGTAGAGAGAATAAGTATTGATAACTCTTGAGAATCATTGCTCTAAAGGGGAGTAGAATAATGGGGAGATGTAGGTCAAAAAAGAGGTTTTTTTATATTTTGTTTTTGAGCCCTGGGAAATATTATAACATGTTTGCCTGTGGTGCACTAAAAAGAGAAAGTTAGTGATGTAGAGGAGATTGAGGGCATTTTCTGCAGCGTTGACTTTAGGTTGGCAAGGAGAGATAGGAGCCACTATATAAATTCAGGGTTGGCTCTAGATGAGAACATGGGCAGTTCGTCCATGGTAACAGGTGGGAGAGCAGAATATATGGGAATAGATATAGGTAGGTTATTGATATCGTACCAACAGCTGTAGAGGTTTACTGCTAATTACTTCAATTTTCCAATGAATGTTCCAGTTCTTCCACTAAGAGTATCCAAGAAAGGAGGGAGAGTGAATGGGTGAGGACAACAACAAGGAAGTGGGCTTCCGAAGACCATATATTTCAAGAAAAACACCTGGCCTGTTCTACATATTTACCTTACCCATTTGGCACTTGAAGTTACTAAAATTTGGGATCCTGGTCTATATTCTTTTCTCTGTAGAGCTACTTCACTGTTCGCTGTCAACCTGCCTTTTTTGGGGAAAAAAAATAACTGTTCGTTTGAACAAAGTTGAAAAAAGCTCATTACTGTCGAGTTGATTCCGACTCATAGAAACCCTATAGGACAGAGTAGAACTGCCCCTAGAGGGTTTCCAAGGAGCAGCTGGTAGATTCGAACTGCCAGTTTTGTGGTTAGTAGCCATATTCTTAACCACTGCTCCTCCAGGGCTTGGTATCTATTTTCTCCTAATAAAAAGCTAAGTAAGCAACCAAGTATTTTTTGACAACACTTTATGTTCAAACATGTCATTTGCTCAGTTGTATTTATTCTTAATAATTGCAGTGTCAGAATTAAAGAAGAGGACAAGTGATATCCTGGATTTCATTTTGGGATTTTTTTTTTTTTTAAAACATACCAATTTCTTTCTTTTTCTTTCAGATGTTCTTAATAGTTGCTCCTCTTTCTGTCCTCTACAACTGGAGGGATGAATTGGACACCTGGGGATATTTCAGAGTCATTATTTTACACGGTAACAAAAAAGACAATGAACTGATTCGTGTAAAGCAGAGGAAATGTGAAATTGCTTTAACAACTTATGAAACACTGCGTTTATATCTGGATGAATTTAACAGGTAATGGGAATAATGGGTATGACTGCATTAATATTTGGCTTACATCAGTTATATTTATCCCTTCATATTCTGATTTTTTAAAAAGCTTTTAATATTCTTAAAGGATTTAATTTGAGTTCAAAATTATTGAAATAAGCCGTCTGTAATAACCAACTTATTCTCTGAGAGAGAAGACCCTCCATCAGGTTTTCCACAGTTCCTTATTCTGTTTCTTAAACTCAGTACAGATACCTGTCCAAAAAAGGCTTATTAAAGAATGGTAAGGCTTGTCCTGTCACCTTTTATGCATTTGGTACCTCTAGTCTAAGAGCGTGATTTTCATGAATGATTTTATTGATAGGAGTCTGTTGTGATGTAGACTGGCAAAAAATAAATAAATTGATAGCCACTGTTCTAGGATAGAAAACCCTGGTGGCGCAATGGTTAACAGTTCGGCTGCTAACCAAAAGGTCAGCAGTTTGAATCCACCAGGCACTCCTTGGAAACCCTATGGGGCAAGTTCTGCTCTGTCCTGTAGGGTCGCTATGAGTCGGAATCGACTTGACAGCAACGGGTTTGTTTGTTTGGGTTCTAGGCTATAAGTACCCAAGAGAAATGAGTTGGTTCATGCCCACCTGCATCTTAATATTTTAGTGGGGAATCTGAAAGGAGTAAACAAGCAGTTTTAAAGTCTGTTATTGTTACTGTCAAGCAATCTGACTCATAGCGACTGTATGGGATAGAGTAGAACTGCCCCATAGGGTTTCCAAGGCTGAAATCTTTATGGAAGCAGACTGCCACATCTTTCTCTCACGCTGTGGCTAGTGGATTAAAACCGCCAACCTTTTGGTCAGGAGCCAAGTGCTTTAACCACTGCGCCACCAAGACTCTTTTATCATAAAGTCAGATTAGTTCATTTTGAATACAGGGTGCTTTGGGAGCATATGAGGAACCTAACCCTGCTGTAGGCTGAGGAGAGTTTTCAGAGAAGCTTCTCAGAGATGATCTGTGAGCTGAATGAGCCTTGTAGGATGAGTAGGAGTTGAATAGTAGGAAAATGTCTGGGTTCTCTAGAGGAGCAAAACCAGAGAAGCATATATAAATATATATAGAGAGAAATTTAAGGAAATGGCTTGCACAATTGTGAAGAAATGACTCATGCAGTTGTGAGGAAATGGCTCACACAATTGTGGGGGCTGGCAAGTCCCAAATCCACGGGTCAGGCAATAGACTGAAGACCCTTGCTGGCTCACGTGGTTGCAGGGGCTGATGGACCCCAAATCTGCAGGTCAGGCAGCAGGCTGGAAGTCTCTGCTGGCTCACAGGGTTGCAGGGGTTGGTCAGTCCCAAATCTTGAAGTCTGGTGGCGGGCCGGAGATTTCTGCAGGCATATGTCCCAAGAACCAGAGGTCAGACAACAAGAAGAGTGCAGGGTCGAGAAAAAGGAGTGAGCTTTGCCAGAACATCCATTTATATACTGGAGGCAAGCCATACCCCCAAGGAAACTCCATTTCAACCAATTGGCTGCTCACATCAGATCACAAGATGAAAGGTGATTACATAGTGTCTGCCAAACCACTAAGAATCATAGCTTAGCCAAGTTAGCATATAACATTAACCATCGAAGACAGTAATCCAGGGGTAGAAGAGTAATCACTGCAGAGAGAACAAACTATTTGCAGAGGCGTTCAGATAAGAATGATCACAGCATGCTTGAATAAATGAAAGGAGCTTGGTATGACTGCAACCTAGAATGAAAGGTGGAGTGGCCAGGAGACAAGGAAGGGAACTGATCATAAGGGTGCTGAAAGCCACTTCGAGGATTTTGATCTTTATCCCTATAGCAGTGGAGTGTCACTGAAGCGTTTTCAGCAGGTTACTGAAATGATAAAAATGATCAGATTTACATCAAATTGGATCATTTCTGTTGATGTATCTTCAAGTTCACTGACTCTTTCTTTTTTCATCTCCATTCTGCTATTAAACTCATCCAGTAAGTTTTTAAAAAATTTATACATTGTGGTTTTCAGGTCTAGAATTTCCATTTGGTTGTTTGCTGAGATTTTTGTTTTTTCATTTATTATGAGAATTTCGTTCATTCATTATGAGCACCTGTTCCTTTACCTTATTAAGCGTAGTTATAATAACCCAGATTCATTGCCATCGAGTCAATTCTGACTCATAGTGACCTTATACAACAGAGTAGAACTGCCGCGTAGTGTTTCCAAGGATCCGCTGGTGGATTTGAACTGCTGACCTTTTGGTTAGCATCCGTAGCTCTTAACCAATGTGCCACCAGGGCTCCATAGTTATAATAGCTGCTTTAAAATCTTTGATAATTTCAACATTTGAGTCATCTTAAGGTTGGTCTTTCTCTTGAGAATGGCTCACATTTTCTTATTCTTTATATATGTTGAGTAATTGGGATTGTATTCTGTACATTGTGAAAGTTATGTTTTGGAGACTCTGAGTTTTGTTATATTCTTCTAAAGTGTGATGAAGTTTTTGTTTTAGCAGATAACTTGGTTAGGCTTAAACAGCAAACTCTGCCTTATCTACGTGGCTTTTCAAATCTCAGTTCAGGACTTTTAACCTTAGTTGCAAGCTGATTTGACTCTTCCTTGGGCATTCATGTTTCAGAGGTCAGACAGAAACCTGGGTAGATTTTAAGCATAGAATTTGAGACTTCTCCTTCTTTGGCTTTTCTTTCTGGGATTCCTTCCTCAGTCTTCAGTGGTTCTGGCTGCCCTGAGCTTTGTCTTCTGGTTCTTCAGACTAAGGAGACAGTAGATATTCTATCAGACTTTTAGCCACCCCTCACAGTACTGCGACTATGGCCTTACCTTCAGGCTAAAGCCAAAAAAATAGGGAAGTCACCCTATGCTGGTCCTTTCTTCCTAGTTTGATTTCTCTTCAACATCTGTCTGCTTTTACTCACTCTGCAGAACCTTCAGGCAATTGTGTTTTATATTTTCTCCAGAGTTTATAGTTGTTACCTGAAGGCAAGTAGAAATACTGGAAGTGGAACTCATATATTGCCTTCATTTTTAAAGGACATTTTTTTTAATTGTACTTTAGATGAAGGTTTACAGAACAAATAGTTTCTCATTAAACAGTTAGTACACATATTGTTTTATGACAATGGTTAACAGCCCCCACGACATGTCAACACTGTCCTTTCTCAACCTTCGGTTCCCTATTACCAGCTTTCCTGTCCCCTCTTACCTTCTAGTCCTTGTCCCTGGACTGTTGTGCTCAATTAGTCTCATTTTGTTATATGGGGCTGTTCAATCTTTGGCTTAACAGTGAACCTCGGGACTGACTTCAGCTAAAAGGATTTCTGGGGGCCATACTCTGGGAGTTTCTCCAGTTTCTGTCAGGCCGGTAAGTCTGATCTTTTTTGTGAGTTAGAATTTTGTTCTGCATTTTTCTCCAGCTCTGTCCGGGACCCTCCGTTGTGATCCCGGTCAGAGCAGTCAGTGGTGGTAGCCAGGCACCATCTAGTTGTACTGCACTCAGTCTGGTGGAGGCCGTGGTAGCTGTGGTCCATTATTCCTTTGGACTAATCTTTCCCTTATATCTTGTTTTTTTCATTCTCCCTTGCTGCTGAAGGTGTGAAACCATTGGAGTATCTTAGATGCCTGCTCACAGGCATTTAAGACCCCAGACACTACTCACCAAGGTAGAATGTAGAACATTTTCTTTATAAACTGTGTTATGCCAGTTGAGCTAGATGTTCCCTGAGACCATGGTCCCCACAGCCCTCTGCCCAGCAGTTCAGTCCTTCAGGGAGTTTGGATGTGTCTATGGAGCTTCCATGACCTTTCCTTATACAAGTTGTGCTGGCTTCCCCAGTATTGTGTACTGTCTTACCCTTCACCAAAGTTACCACTTATCTATTGTCTATTAAGTTCCCCCCCATCCCTTGTAACCAACAAAGATTGTTACTTTTTGTGTGTAAACTTTTTCATGAGTTTTTACAGTAGTGGTCTCATATAATATTTGCTCTTTTGTGATTGACTTATTTCACTCAGCATAATGTCCTCCAGTTTCATCTATGTTATGAGATGCTTCACAGATTCATCATTGTTCTTTATCATTGCATAATACTCCTTTGTGTCTATGTACCATAGTTTGTTTATCCATTCATCTGTTGATGGACATCTAGGTTGTTTTCATCTTTTTGGTATTGTGAACAATGCTGCAGTGGACATGGGTGCGCATATGTCTATTTGTGTGACGGCTCTTATTTCTCTAGGATATATTCCTAGGAGTGGGATTGGTGAATCGTATGGTATTTCTATTTTTAACATTCTAAGGAAGCGCCATGTCATTTTCCATTCCCACCAGCAGCACGAGTTCTGATCTCCCTGCAGCCTCTCCAACATTTGTTATTTCCAGTTTTTTTGATTTGTACCAGTAATGCCAGGGTGAGGTGGTATCTCATTATGGTTTTAATTTGCATTTCTGTAGTGGCTAGTGATCGTGAGCGTTTCCTCATGTGTCTGTTGGGCTCTTAAATGTCTTATTTGGTGAAGTGTCTGTTCATTTCCTTTGCTCATTATTTAATTGGATTATTTGTCTTTTTGTTGTAGAGTGTTGGATTTTCTTGTAGATTTTAGAGATGAGACTTTCTCTGACTTGTACTGTCCAAAAATTTTTTCCCAGTCTGTAGGTTCTCTTTTCACTCTTTTGGTGAAGTCTTTTGATGAGCATCAGTGTTTTTTTTTTTTTTTTTTTTATTTTCAATTGTTGTAATTAAATGAAGTTCACATTTCAAGTTAGTCTCCCATATAGAATTTTTTCTTTTTTTTTACGTACATTGTTATGTGACCCCAACTGCTCACCCCATTCTGAAACAGCACATTCCTCCCCTCCGCCCCTGATTCCCCATGTACATTCAACCAGCTCCTAACTCTTTGCATTCCCATCTCACCTCTGGACAGAAGCTGCCCCTTTGGTCTCTTGTATCTACTTGACTAAGAGACACATTCTTCACAAGTATCACTTTATGTCCCACA